GCTGGTCCATCTGTGAGTTGTGCTGGGTGATGATCGATGCGTTCGCGGGGAGGGCAGGAATCGCAGCACGACGCTCGAGTGTGATGAAGAGCGGCTCTCTTCTCAGCGCATCGCAACGACTTGCTCACCACGCGCTCTACGCTGCATTGCTCCAGCAATCTTCATCATCATCATCTCTATGCTAGGACTCTACTCGCTGATCTACGAGTTCCCAAGTCGAGCACAAGCCTTGATCGTCCGAGCAAGCTACTACTTGACTGGCAAAGGCAACTTGCAAAACGTCTCTGATCCGAGCGGCAAGCTTAACGCTGATGCTACAACGGCTTTTGGAGCAGCGCCTCTAATGGGACAAGGACTGAAAGTCGGAGGGAAATGGGAGTTGTAGTCTGTGGGGGAAGGGGTTTCTGAGCATACACGCTCACAATATGGACGTCCTTTGCCAGATGTGTGAGGTGCAGATTCGTAGACTAGCATCTCATCACAGCTTCGGGGTATTCAGGTGCCGTAGGCAGACTCAAGCCGTGGGTCTTCCACCTCTGTAACATTACGCCTTTCCAAATGTCAAGGCTTGCGTGCAGGCTCACCGCTATGCAGCTCAGAAAATTGCAGCACCAAGGCACATTTCATCACCCTTTCATGCATTGGCCTACTCACTCGACTCACGGCGTCAGGTCCGCAAAGTCGTTGCGAGCGCAATGCAACTGCAGGCTACGATCTGGGCGGAGAGGGCTTGTACGCTTCCAAAAGGTCACAGAGTCGCGAGAGTGTGCGTGAAGGTATGCATTTCGCAGCAATAATATGCACCAACGCCTCCAGAGAAAAAATGGACAAGCTGCGTTTATCGAAATGCAGCGGAGTGTCAGACGTCTCTACCAAATGCGAGTGAGCCAAGTCAAGACGGCTAGGTAGCCTGATCGAGCGCGAAGAAGGAAAGGCCAGGATGGAGGTCACTGATCGGTGGTTGCCGAGGTAGCCAAGCTACCGACCGAGTCTGGTCGCGTCAAACTGTCGTTCGATTCGGCCACGCCCTTGCCTTTGCCAAGCACGAGTCTGGAAGGGGGTTTAGCGTCCGAAGTGGTCGATCCGGCTGAAGTAGGAGCACCTCCAACGTTATCGGCTCCACCACTAAACATTGCCAATAGTGTTTGCTTGTCCCTCTTGGATCGCACCCTCTCGGCTTCCGCGTGACCTCCCGTCTTTCGCAAAGCTTTGCCGTCCACAAAGCCAGCCAGCTCTTCCTGAAAGTCGTCCGTGCGGGAAGCAAGCTCTTTGGCTCGTAATCGCTCGGCGTTGGCGAGCGCTTTCAAGCGCTTTTCATGATCTACCGACTGGCCTCTGACCTCGAGCATGACCGTGTTCAGCCCTTCGTGGCCCTCTTCGGGTGGTGGCGGCAGATATCCGCCCTTTCCAGCACCAGCAGGTCGACCAACGCCCCTCAGCTTGATCACCTGCTGTATGTTCTCGTAGACCTCCTTCATCGCCAAAAAGTCTTCCCTAAGATCCGCAATCATGCCCGTCTGGAAGTTTAAGAATTCTTGCTCCTCCATCACGTTCCTTAGCTCGGCGCTGTGCGTCTGCCTCCACGACGGCTCCACGGTGGTGACGTACTTCTCCAAGTCTTCCAAACCAAAATTTGCACGCGCCATATCATCTCCTAGCTTTTTCATCGTGGCAGGCTTGGGCTTGACGCCTCGGTTAATCACGTCCATCTTGAGATCGTCCACCGTATCCTGCAGGTCTTCGACGAGCGTAAGGACTTCCTGAGAATTATTCTCCAGCTTGATCTTGCCAGCGACGATGAAGTTGCGCTCAGCAGGAGCTTCTTTGGTCGCAATGGCGCGAACGTGAGAAGCTTGTTCGCGCAAGTTTTTGAGGAGTGCAGTCACGTCTGATCCAAAGTCTCCTTGGATCTGTCTCATCACTGCCAGCTCTCTCCTCAAACTCTGAACCTCATCGTACTGCGTCTTGAGCTCCGTCGCCACCTTTGCGCCGCTAAGCGTAGCCGAACCTACGGAGGCAGAGCTCAGTGTTGGCGAGACAGGCCCATTCGCTTCATCTTTCGCAGTACCATTAGCTCGAGCCAAAGTGTTCGCACGCTTGAGTTGGGCGACGCGCGCACCAGCCGAGGTGAACTGCGAGTCGGTAATGCGCGCAGGACTTTGCGAGGCAGCGTTTGCAGCGGCCGCCACCGCGGCCAAAGCGTCGGGCCCATAGCTGATGCTGGTGCGGCGAAGTGCGTCCACGCGATCGCGCTCAAATACGGCTGCCTTCAAGTCTCGAAGCTCTCGTGTAATGACGCTCAACGAGTTGTCCAAATGTTGCTTGACCTGGTCTAGAGGCTCGATGTTCAACGTCAACAGACTGCCATCTTGCAGGTCCGCAAAGTCTTCCAATTCGTAGCTGACTCCGCTCGCCAAGTCTTTGACGTAAATTACCGGAAAGTCTTCGCTACCCGGCGAGTAGCTGAATCGGTCCATGAACAGCATTCGCAGCTTCACGACGTTAAGACCTCTGTCTGACGCGCTTGGATCGAGGTCCACGATGGCCCGCCGGGTTTGCCGACCAAGCTGTAGAAATAGAGACAGAGTCGAGGCAGATGCTTCGACGGCTGAGGATCTTTGTGTGCCAGAGATTGAGGTGCCATTCTCCGCACGACGCTGAGCAGCGTCAAGACGACGCCTCTCCTCAGCAGTTGGTAAAGGAGGAACAGGTGGCACAGCGTCGGCGTCATCTCGAATGCGTGGGCTCACACGCCCTTGCGCGTCCACAAACGGCAAGCTCTCGGTGGAACTAGCAGCTACATCTCCGGCTGTGGCTGCTAGCAATCGGTTTGCTCCTCCCGGACTGGTCGTCCTTGTCTCCGTCGAACTTCTTTGGGACCTGAGCTCTTCAAGCGCTTCGGGAGAGTGGGGAGGTTCCGGTATCGCACGACCGGCTGAGAGGTAGTCGCTTGCCTCTCCAGAGACTGCGCTGCCGGCTCTCGATCCATTCGGCCGTCTAGTAGCGGAGCTGGCATTTCTCTGACTCGACACCCTCCGATCCGCCAGGGGACTGTTGGCCGGACTGCTTCCAGCACCCAGCGCGCTCATCCCAAGGCTGCCCAGACCAAAAGACTGCGGCGTACCGAGCCCCATCTTATTGAAGGTATATGCACTAAAGCGCTTAGAAGCGCGCCGCTCCAGTGCATCTCTGGACTTCAAAGCCCGCAAGCTAGGGTCAGCTTCCGCTTCCAAGGCTGCTGCGGCAGCGGCGTGTGCTCGCC